CTACTTTACATGGTAAAAGCAAAAGAGCAAGGTTATAAATTAGATGTGTTTGTTAGTGCACTACTGAGCATTGTGCAGCCACAATATTTCAAGCTCTCACTTTCCATGAGGTTGACAAGTGTTGTTCCCAATACAAACACAGGAACATGGAGCTGCTGAAAACCAAGTGACTGGCTGATTCCTCAAAGCCAGTTTATGACAGAACTTTCCTGGTATCCATGGCAGAGACTTTCTTGCCCTCCCTTTAAGCGATGTTTCTTTGTAATGGGTCACCTGTTCAATAACAGACACATAGGAAAATGCCCTTGAGTAAGTAAGTAACCTTCTATCCCTTAGTGATTTGATGAGTGTCCTCCCCAAAATGCCACAGATACAGGATAGTTTTCTGTTTTGCGGAATTCTCCAGTCTAGATCTTAGGCAAGAAACAAGAAAATAAAAGTATTTCATCTATCTTTTTAAAGCTGAAGTTCTCAGAGCAGACATTCTTGAGGAAAATGAGCATACTGTATGTGTGCAATGTGTAAGGCTTTGTGCTAATTATTAATGTGCATCAACTTGTCTCATTCTTAAAACCATATAAGAAATGAGGTAGAATTATTATCTACATTTGGTAGATGAGAAAGCTGAGGCTTGATGAGGTTAAGAGATCAAGTAGCACATTCACACTCACAAAGCTTAGTGAAAATAGTGATACAGAGTGAAGGTACAGTGAAGATTTGAACCCAGGACTGCCAGACCCTTAAGGCCAACATTTCCTGTTTGCGGGATGTGTTTGTATCTCCCAATAAAAGTCAGAATTACATAGACTTTATACCGAGGACCTTCACTTTTATATATTACTAGCATTGCTGCTGTCAGAAATTTTATAGAAAAACAGCTATCATAAAAAAGAAGAAAGGGACAAACATTACAGTGAAAACGGAATTCATAACACATTTTCAAAACTATCACATTTCCCTGTATCCAAAACTTTTAAAATTGAACAACAATGAGATACATCTTATAACTTATCACCTATAAATTGGCAGTGGGTAAATTAATTGGTGAAACCACATATTGGTAAAAATTTGGGAAAACAGCTGCTTTTATTTCTGATTGGAGGAAGTGTACAGTAGGACCTATATGACCTCCTGTAAACTTCAATTTCATGCATTACATACAGCCAGGCAACATCATTTTTACACATTGAAAATTTCACACCTTTTTTAAGGAAACAGTATGTGTACAGGAAATAGATACCCTGAGCAAACTTCCTGTAGAGAATTTACACTGAAGAAATGCACAGATAAATATAAAAAGGTTGAAGAAATTCATATGCTCAGGGCTGTGTGGTTAAGGTTGACAAAAAGGAAGAACATAAGGATTCATCAGTAGGGGATTAAATGTGTGCCAGAGATTGTCTCCTAGTACAAGGCACTGCTTACTAGCTTGGCCTTGGTGTGTGCATGCATAGGTTTAAGTCTTCACTATACTTCACTAAGCTGTGTGAGTGTGACTGGGCTACTGAATCTCTTAACCTCATCCAGCCTCTGCTGTCTCATCTACCAAAAGTAGATAATAATTCTACTTAATTTTTATATTGTTTTAAGGATGGTGCTTATTAGCCATTAGTGCCAAGCCTCATGTACTGTGTACGTACTATGCTCACAGCTGTGAAATGCTGAAGAAAAGCGGGAATGAAAGATGCACAGGTGTATTCACTCAGATGTTTGGGAGAAGAGCCGTTAACAGTGGCTTAGCCCTGGAGACCAGGATTTAGGTGAATGCTACTTTAAAAAAACCTTTTCTATAGGGTCTAAATTTATTTACAATAATCACACTCCCTCAGAAAAAAACACAACAAATCTTTTAATTTAGGGAGAAAAACTAATATATGACATTGTTAAGACACTATGCTGGGGCGGGGGATTTAGCTCAGCGGCACAGCGCCTGCCTGGCAAGTGCAAGGTTGTGAGTTCAATTCCCAGTACCGGGGGGGGGGGGGGGGAGACACTATGTCAAGGCATGTCTCAGAGAAAATAACAATCACAGTAACCTTTCTTTTATATTTATCCTTTTAAAAGTTGAACCCCAAGAGTATCATTGAATTAATGATGAATATCTAGCTATGGCAGGGAATGGTAAACCTTATTTACTCTGTTTGAGACACAGATCTAGATTACATTTCCCCACTTCCTAGTCTCCTATTCTGTCTTTGTTCCTAGTCTATAACCACACCACGCCAAACGCGCCCCACCTCATCTGCTCTTGCTCCTCGATGGGACTAGATCATTGTTTCTCAATAATAAAATGTTACCAAAAAATACATTCCACCCTAAGTAGTAGATAGCTCAGAGGGAGGGTTAAATGTTGGAAGCTTTGGACTAAAGCAAAGAGACCCTCAGGAAGGAAGGAAGTAATCTCTTCACTTTCTGTTTTTTCTTACTATTTATTTATTAACTAAATTGATGGACAAAATTTTGTTCATCATGTACAACATAATGCTTTGAAGTATATGTACATGGTATTTGTAGAAACACTATGTTTAGCTAATTAACATAGCCATATTCAAGTACTTGGAAAGGATTGCTGTAATTTATATGCTTCACTGGATGAGACTAGGATGAGTGAAAGAAAGCTACAGGGAAGAATAATCCAGCAATCTGATTAATCCACACTCTAGAGGTGTGAACTAGGAACCGACAGGGCTTGTAAGAGATGCCATGAGGTGGAGCCATTTAACCAACTGCTTAAAATCAGGAAATCTATTAAGGTTGAAGAACTAAATAAATAGTTTCAAACCTCAGAATATCCCATGTGCACTAGTTTAAATTTAATATAATCTTCTTTATTTATATAGACAAACTGAAAGTGAAGAATCCACACTGAGAGTTTAGGAAATTGCCTTTCAATACGCTAAATAGAATTCCAGCATTTAGTCAAATTGTCTACTTGAAGGAAATCCTGAGAAGCCAAAGGCATAATCTCTTCACTTTCTGTTTCTTTTTAATTTTTATTTATTAACTAAATTGATGGGCAAAATTGTATTCATCGTGTACAACATAATGTTTTGAAGTATATGTACATGGCATTTGTAGAAAGACTACGTTTAGCTAATTAACATGCCCACTGCCTCAAAGTTCTCTTTGTGCTGAGCACACTTTACACCTCTTAGCATTTGTCAAGAATACAGTGTATATTGTTAGTATAGTTGCCATTTATAGAAAAGATCTGTTGAGCTTATTTTTCCTCCTAACTGAAGTTTGGTATTCTTTGACTAATATCACCCTGTTGCCTTCTTGCTGCCCGGCACAACCCCTGGTAAGCACTATTTCTTCTGTGCTTCTGGGAGATCCACTTTTTCTATATTCCACATCTGAGTGGGAATATGTGGCATTTGTCTCTGTTTGCCTGCCTTATTTCACTTTATGTAAGGCCCTACTGGTTCAACCATGCTATTGAAAAAGACAGGATTTTCTACTTTGTATGGTGGAATAGTGCTCTATTGTGTACAAATATCACCTTTTCTTTATCCACTCATCCACTGCTGACACTTAGGTTGATTCCACATCTTTGCTGTGAATAGTGATGCAGTAAACCTGGTCAGGCTGGCATTTCTTTAGCACACTGACTTTCTTTCCTTTGGAGATATACCCAGTAGTAGGATAGCTGGATCATATACGGTAGTTCTAGTTTTAGTTGGTTGTTTTTTTTTTTTTAGAAAATTCCATATTGCCCTCCATACTGGCTGTAATAATTTCCATTCCCAACAGCAGTATATCAGAGTCCTATAATTCAATAAGTCTAAGATGACTCCCAGTATAGATCAGATTTAGAAATTGGATGGAAGAGAGAGCATTACTCCATGTCAAAAAGAAGCAGCAGTTTGAATGGAAGACCTGTTTAGAGGTTAAAACCCAGTGCTGTCAACGTAGAAGTAATTTAAAACATTCTGAAGTTCAGAGTACAGCCTGGATGGAAACTTACATGTCATTAATGAAAAATCTCTGTAATTATCATGGGAAAGGAATTTATTTATGTATTCATACTAGAAATGGCAAAGCCTTTAACTATACATATATTCAATAAATATATTTACTGATATTTATGTGTAATAAAAACAAAAAAATGACTGCCAGCAAGGTTGTAGTGCAACTGATATACTGAAATCCTGCTGGAGAACTGCAAATTCTACAAAACTATATTTTGGTCAGGCTATATAGCAAACACAGAGGAATTACAGAAATGGTTTTTTGATTTTACTCAGGACTCTCTGATTATTAAAAGGATATAACTCAGTATATACTAATGAAAACTGACTTTATAAACATGATGTATATTACAATGAATAATGAGATGGTTTAATGTGTATGTGCATACATTTGCTCAAAGTGGAAATATAAACACTAAAGAAACATGGAAAGATTTAAATTGATGTTCAAACATTATTTGTAATGATCATAGTAATATTAATAGTGTATTAATAGATAAATCTGAAAAGAGTACAGCCTGAAAAGGTATTAAAAATGAAAACTGTCAGAATGCCATGATATTCTCTCTTTTTTTTTTTTGAATGCAGTTGGTGCAAAGACAACTTTAATAGTGACCTTAGGAGGCAGATGGGACAGACCACAGGGACCACTGCACCTCACGTCCTTACACTGTCCCATGCAGGGCTATGACACTGACAGGGCTGTGGGGCACATCTGCAATGGGAGGTCTGACTCTTGTGGCTGGAGATGAGACAATCACGTTTTCTTTAGTTATAAATTTGGTTTCATTGACACATTCACCACAGAAGAGGAAAAGGCCACAATGTGTGAGGTTAGTATGAACAGGGCAAAGGACCTTTTCTTTTTAAGAAAAAGCACCAGTATTGCAAAGACTTTCCACTGTTCCACGCCCACCCCAAAAGCCCCATCTCTCCACAGGAAGTGCGCTGACCACTGCAGGAATAAAAGAATCTGAGGAGGAGGCTGATGATCACTCTCTCCTTGCAGAGCTCAGCAAGACCCCAGCCATGAGGCTTCTCCTCGTGGCCGTCCTGGGCGCCTGCTGCCTCGCCACATGCACTGTGGAAGGTAAGTCCAGAAGCTGCTTTGGAGATGAGGAGCAGGGATGCGAGGCGGGTGGGCACACCTCTTTGGGTTTGACTTGGGTTTTGACTGCAAGAAACTGCAGCCCCAAGCTGAGCCTCAGACTTCCCATATGCAGACAGGGAGTGGAATATAACTCTAGGGCACTGGGTAGACTCCCAAAACGGAGAGAACTGGGTAGTATCCGGCTCCAAATCTTTCTAATTGGGTGATTTGGGGTAAATTTCCTGACCATTTGGGGCCTATGCTCATCAGTGCTCGGAAGCTTGGATTAGATTTTACCAAACCCTTAATATTATCGACTTTTCCAAGTTACTTTTTCCTTTTGCAATGTAATGTGGTTCTCCAAACTTCACAGTTTAATTTCTCTTGGCCCATTCTTTTGATGATGAACTCTCTAGGAAACACTCCCCTTGTACAGTTCACATTTTCCATTAAAATGAGAAGACTTTATTCATTCAGTCAAACAAGCTGCTTCCCCAGTTAAAAGTTGCCTTGCCCAAATTACTCTCCATCACACTGTCTCATGCGCTCTAGCACAGTGACGCTTACACCATTGGAAACTGCATACTCTCTTCGCTTGTTTGCTGCCCTGCCTCTCACTAGCAGATGTGCCCCGGGGTCTGTATCTGTCCTCATGAGCGCCTCCAGCACTAGGGTCACAGCAGGCAGGGGATAAGTAGAAATGAATGAGGGAGTATCACTGGGACATTAGCTCCCTATCACAGCAGCCCTGAAAATACAGGCACAGAGAACGCCTTGTTATTTTTTCTCACCATGATGAGGCCCCTGAAGCTATGTGCTTGATCTAATTTTTTAAATTAGATCTGACTAAGACTGTATGATGTACAGGAGACTAAGGATGCCAGTAAACACCATCTTTTCCCAAAAAGAACAGGGACCCCACATTCCTACATGGGCTTACATGGAACCAGTGAGTTGTTTTCTCTGAACTTGGTAATTGTGGACTTAGAGTTTATTCATCTGTTTTGTCTAACCAGGGGTGGGGAGTGAAATGCCAGAAAACAATGTCTGTGGGAGCCTAACAACCCAGCGACTGCCAGTGAGCAGAATCAAGACCTACACCATCAAGGAGGGCTCCGTGAGGACAGTGATGTGAGTGTCTCCCCGTGGCTGGGCTTGGTGTAGAGAAACAGAGAACCATCAGGAAGACATATCAGTGTGGAGGAAAGCCTCCAGTTCCCCTGCAGCCCCCGCAATTGTCCGTATTCCTCATCTCTTTATGCACCCTTCCTAAGTAACGATCATTGCCAAAATTCAGCCTCAGAAAGGAATGTAAGTCTTCTCTTCTGACTTTGCCTAAGAGAAGAGTCTGGCTGGAAACCACCTGAACACCATGCCCAGTTATGAGGCTGAGGCTTAGACATGGCTACTCCAGGCCAGGACTTGCCCACAGAGCCAAAGTAGGGTGGGAAAGAGGCAGAGAGCTGAGTATGCAGTATCGTGCATGCTGGGGCTATCAAAGGACTGGTCATTCGCTCTCCAGATCTCATTTTTAGGGCTAGCAGTTTCCCCAATACATATTTATAGGCTTTACTCTAAGAAATTAAAGAAATCACCTTCAATCCAAAAAATAAATATGTCTAGGTTTGAAAAGGATTAGGATATGCAATAACTGAATTAGAAGATTTTAATTGTCCAGTTTAATTACACCATTTGATAGAACTGGTGGCAAAAAGAGTCTGTAAATTATGGGGGACAAAGGAGCCAGAATCTACCTAGAGACATTCCTCCTTTATGTGAAAATGATGGCAGGAGAAAGGTGTTCATTACAGCCTATGAGTTCTCTAAGACTATTTCTTTGGCTAACTTCTGGGCAAGTCTCCTTGTATCTGGCTGAATCTTAACTCTTTGCACTGGGACTTGGAGAATGTAGCTAACACCATCTATCTTTTCCTTGCTTTGCAGTTTTATTACCAGACATGGCCTCAAAGTCTGTGCTGACCCAGAGGCCACATGGGTGAAAGCAGCAATTAAAAGTGTGGACAGCAAGTCCAACATGAGAAGAAACAGGATCCAGACCAACCCTACAGGAGCCCAGCAGTCTGCCCATACACCTGTGACCCTGTCCCAGTAGAGGGCTTCCCACACCCTGTCCCCTCCTTAGCTGGCCAGCTCATGTCTTTCCACAAGCTCATGGACTAATTAGGTTATACTCGTCTTTTATGTAAGTGCTGTATTAGTAAAATTGTATACTTATATTGTTATTGTAATGTCTTTCATATTCATTTAGATGATATAGTTAATAAATATTTATCATTAACAATTATTCTGAGGCCTATTCATTATATTTAGGGGACTGTAACATATCCCTGATGCTCTATTCATGACCTAACAGGGTGTCTCTGTTCAATGGTGTCCATGGAAGGGAAGGTCCTGGCCAGGGGTAATCAGAGAGGAAAGCTATGTTCATCACTCTTAGGTCCCAGGTTGTAATGAGTCTAAACTTGAGTTAAAGGTGACTCAAGATCTATGTCGACTTGTCAATTTGTCCTCATAACAAAGTGCTATTTGTAGAATAAGGAAAAAAGAGGGCTGGGGATTTAGCTCAGCGGCAAAGCGCCTGCCTGGCAAGCGCAAGGTCATGAGTTCGGTTCCTGGTACCGGAGAAAAAAAAAAAAAAAAAAAAAAAAGAATAAGGAAAAAAGTCATCCAGTTGTCATTGCCTTCCTACCATGAGGATCTACTACTCAAAAGGTGGCTTCACTCCAGTTTGATCTCCAGGAAATAACAAGGTAGGAGGGGACAAGACTTGTCATTTTTTCACTTGTTCAGTTAGTTAAAGTTAGGTTTTTGGTGCAAAAATATATATGTATTCTGACAAAATCAATGATTTTTGAGTTAGGCAATACCTTACCCCCTCGTGATTGTTTCTGCATTGACACTGTGCTAATTATCAAGGAAGTTAAGCTTTTAACAACCCTCAGAAATAATCAAGTGTAATATTTCTTGATATAATCACAATTTATAGCACACTTCTAATTCAGTTTTCACTGCGTCACTCACCACCCCAAGGTCTTGCTCTCTTGTATTCTCGCTAAATTGCTGATGTGCTTCATGTTTATAGTCCTACTCTCTAAGTAGCTAAAGACGCAAACCCTATCCTATCTGACTCTGAGTGGTAAGGACTGGCCTTCTCTTGATAGTTCTGACAGCAGAGGAACCCTAGCCACCATCTACTCCTGAGGAGACACTCAACAATATCAACAGCCTTCAGAGGGTGACTGAGGGGAGCTTGTTGGAATCACCTCACTTCTGGTCACATAGCTAAGGTGGATGCAATTAAAAGTTACCCTCCTGCCAAAAATGGGACCACCTATCCCATCTCAATGCCATTTGTCCACAATAACTTTCAAAGATGTTTTAAAGAAAACAATCCCTTAGTAAGTGAGATTAGAACTTGTGCTCTGTGAGGGGTGACAATGAACAAAGTCACAAAGAATGAGTAAAGGGTTTCCTGACTGATTTATGTACTTTCCCTTCCTGAGTGCCTCCCTGACACTAGGGTTTGACTGAGGTAATAATAATAATAATCCAATGTGTGCGAGGGGTAGGCAGCACAATACTGTAGCTTTTTGGTAGTAAATACTTAGTTTTTATTATATAACCAGACCTATTTTCCTGCTTAACAGTGTTAGCTCACTTAATAGCATTCAAACCCCAATTTTGGCCACAACTGAGGCATGAGAAAGTTAATTGACCTCCTTAAGGTCCTTGGTTGGCCCGGGGCAGAGCTCAGATCTGAGCCCACAGAAGCACAGTCAGTCCCCAGTTCAGGTTGTCAATAAACACATCTTGCCCCTTCCTCTCTCAGAAGCCAGGACTCTTCAGACCAAAACATACGTAAAGACTATGAAGAGACTACTCAGACATAATATCCCACTCACTGACTTCATCCTTTCATTTGATAAATGTGCATTACAGGCCTACTATGTGCCAGAAGCTGAAGATGCAGCAATAAACAGAAAAAAATCCCTTCTTCATTCTGGTGAAAATCTCCCCTTCCCCTTTCCCCAGGATCTGATACCTTCCTTCCATCGTCACCTTGCTCACCCAGTACAGGTGTTCACTGTTTGCTGTGCTGGGGAATGCAGGACTGAGCAGACCCCTGGCCTTCAGGTCCTCACCCTCAGGAATCTCACACTGGTGCAGAAGCAAGCAGTAAGAAGACGCTCCAGGAGAGTGGAAGATGGGAAACGATGGGGGCTGCAGAACGCTGGACACAGAGCAAACCTGCGCTGGTTTCATGCGTAACGAGGGTCAGGACAGCTTGCCCTTGAAAACAACTGGAAGAGTGAGTTTGAGTCACCCAGTCCCCATGCGCCCCAGGCAAAGGGAGCAAGCAGCACATGTGGAGGCCTGCAGGTGAGAGGCTGTGATGCATAAGGAAACGTGAGCTGTGTCCTGTGACCGTGGGACAGGTGGGGCTGACAGCAGGGGGCGTGGGGCGGAGACAGAGGCCATGACCTGAAGGGCATTGTCTGCTGCACCAAGGAGCGAATACTTACTTTAAAGGACATGGCAAATAGCATCAGTTGCTGAGTAGAAAATGAAGTACAGAGAACAAGACAAGAACCACTTAGGAGGAGGCACTGGATACAGTGAACTTTGAACCTGACCTGGCATGGAGCAGCCCATAGTCCCTTTTCCTATTTAGTCAAGGAGCACAGCAGTCGTGTAGGACTTCCCAGCTGGTGGCATAGCCTGGCTGTGCATGCCAAATGCACTGGCCATCAACTCAGTTCACTAATTTCCTTGGATGCAGGAAGCCAAGACTGGGGTAAGAGAAAAGATCATTTATGGGTGTTCACTTGTGATTTACATGACTTATTGACTGAACAGAGATCAGACCTGTGGGAACAAAATTGGAGTCATCCTTCCAAAAGAAGTAGGAGGTTGGACTGAAGAGCAATGAAGGTGTATTAATGCAGTTGCCAAGAGCCACCGATCAAGCCTCTTCTGGTTTACTCAATGTCCTGAATATCTGTTGAGCATCTGCTGGGTTCAAGGGCACAGGATCCAGTCAGTATCGTGAAGCCCAGATGGTATCAAAACCACTCCCACTTGCGTGTTCCAAAGGGCCCAGCTCAGGGCTTGGCTCCTCTGGGAGGCCTTCCTGATGTCGTCTGTCCGCGTGAGGTGGCTCTCTTGTGCCTCCATGCTCACCTCTGTTGCTGCTCATGTCACCCTGAAATACCATTTTCTGTGCCTTTGCTTTCTGTCTCACTTAATAGTTGAGGTAGGGACTGTAAGAAACAGCTAGATGCTTGCCAGACTTATTTGCTCTTCCTTGCAAGCACACACCTAGGCATTCCCATCCCATCTTGTGGCCTGGGACAGACTTTGAATTTCCAGCTTGGGCTGATAAGAGTCATCCATAAACAGTCGTCCGTGTACTTCCCTCTCTGGCTGACAAGAAGAAAGCCCCAGCACCACTGGAAACTTCAGAGCCTTTGTTAAAAATGACTCCTTCCAACCAAAAGCCACATAGGAATGTCACAAAAATACATAAAACTAAAGCTTTATTGTGCAAAGGCATTGAAAATCAAGTTTTCATCTACTACAGCAAGTAGGGTACTTAACAAAGATACATATCTGTATGAAGTGGTAGGAAAAATTGGACACATTTTAAATTATTTTTATAAAAGTCAAAAGTAGAGGTCATGTAAACAATGTGGTAAAGTTAGTTAAAAAAAAAAAGAAATACCTGCTTTGTCATCAAAGATAGTTCCATGGAGTTCGGCATGGTAGTACACACTGTGATCTCAGGATCCAGTCAGTATCTGGGAGGCTGAGGCAGGAAGACTGAAAGTTTGAGCAACTTTGTGACTTAGTGAAACTCTGTTTCAAAATAATTTTTTTTAAAAAAGAGCTGAGGATGTAGGTTAATGAAGGCACTAAATTCGATCCCTAGTACAAGAAAAAAAATGGGTTTTAACAGGAAAATATTAAGAGAGAGAGTTCCACATGGAGAGAACAGTAACACCCACAACTAAGATGTGGAAAGGATAAAAGTAGATTGGTTGGGGCCTAATTTTTGTAATCCCTTCTTTTTCACTTTTATTAGTGCACGTTTGCAGCACGTAACAATTGCACTCATTGTGGAGATTTGGTACGTGTACGTAACACACCTTAGTTCTCTTTACACCCCCTTCTTCTTCCCTCCCACGCCCCTCCCTCCATCTCTTGGTCCCCTTTCTATTTGCAAAAGGTCTATCTCCTTGTTTCCTATTATCTACTTTCTATCTTGCTCTTTAATTTATTTATGCTTTGGGTTTCTCAGATAAGAGAAATCATACATATTTAAGCTTGTGTGTCTGGCTTACTTCACTTCACATTATGACCTCAAGATGCATCCATTTTCCTACAAATGACTCAAATCTGTCCTTTTTTATAGCAGAATAGTACTCCATAGAGCAAACCTTCTATGTAGAAACAAAACAGAAGGTTAAACTGGAGTGGTATATTTCCAACTTTGAAAAGTTTTAAATAGCAGACTAAGAACATTTGCATTGCCCCAAGTGACTCACTGCAGGTTTTGAGCAGTAATTTAGGAAGGTGGCACTAATGATCTAAAAGGCAGAAAAGGGACCCCATAGCCAGAACCCAAGGCCATGTCATGAATATCTGAACAAAACCAGTACTGCAAGACAATTCTCCATGAGCCGCTCACATCTCAGCTTTCAGGATAACATGAAAATATGTTGAAACACCAAAGCATGGTGCAAGTAGCAGATGTTACTTTTTTGCTGTTGACATTATAAATGTAAAGGAAGGAGACAAAATTCCAATAAGCTGATGGCTACTGTCAACTCAGGCAACCCATTAAAAATAGGTGGAGGTGGGAGACAAAAGGCTAAACTAATGACTAGAATGAGGTTTGCTAATTTTTTAAACTTTCTGTTCTCTCCCTCCATCTAGAAAATTCAGAGTCAGCCACTTCAGAACCGCAGGAAAGGAGAAGTTGAAGACAGACGTGGACAGGTAAGTGGGGAATTGCTGCAAAGAAGATTCTCCCATAAATAATGGTGTCTATATCTTCAGTGATCACATCCTTTTATTTAAAATTGCTTACCATTCCTAACTTCACCCATGCT